TATTGGTTCTTGCTTGGGTTTTGGTGTTTTACAGAGTGTGATTGTAGCTTGACTATATGGCAGCAGTTGCTGTCTCTTCTTGTGTAATATAGGGAGACAAACAGTCCTACAAAGGCAGAAGGGTGGGCATATAACAGCAAAATAACACCAGCAGAAAAAAATAATGAGAGAAAGTAAAAAAAAAAGACTAAAAAACAGCAACAACAAAAACTAGACTGAATACTGCAGTCTCTAATCACAGAAAAGGGAGAGGAGGAGAGAAGAAAAATAAGGAAAAAAAATCTGTAGCCTAATATGAGTATGACTTTAATGTCCTCTCTTCAGCTTCCTTCTGTTACATACTTGGAACATAAAAGTATATAAATTCGGTAATGGGAGCACGGTGGCTCTGTAGGCTAAGTACTGGGCTGCGAACCACAAGGTTGGCTATTTGAGCCCACCAACTGCTCTACAGGAGAAAGATGAGGCTTTCTGATCCTGCAAATATTTACAGCCTCAAAAACATTATACAGAGTCACTATAAGTCAGAACTAATAGATCTATTTTGGAAGAAGTGCAGCCAGAGTGCTCCTTGGAGGCCAGGATGGCTAAGCTTTGTCTCTCATACTTTGGACATATTATCAGGAGAGAACAGTCGCTGGAGAAGGATGTCATGCTGGGTAAGATGGAGGGTCAGAGTAAAAGAGGAAGACCCCCAATGAGATGGATCAGTCAGGTGGCATCACTGATGGCGTCAAGTGTGACAGTGGTAGTGAGGTTGGCCCAGGATCAGACATTGTTTCATTCTGCTGTGCATGGGGTCGCTATGAGTCAGTTCCGACTCAATGGCACCTGACAACAACAACATAAGTCAGAACTGACTTGACAGTACTTAACAGTAATAAAATAGGTAAAAATTCTAGCTCTCATGGAGCTAGAATCTAGTGATTATTATGAATGGTTTTTAATGTTCTTGTCCTCCAGTCTCATATTAGTGATAGTAAACTAGAACAGATTTCTACTTATATCTCTAACCACATAAGATCAAAGACTACACAGCCTTTGGTATGCACTGTACCTCAATGTAAAGAAAACAAAAATCCTTAACACTTGAAACAATAAATAAAATCAAGATAATTGTAAGAAAGATTGACATTGTCAAAGATTTCATTTTGCTCAGATCAACCATCAACACTCAGAAAAGCAGCAGTCAAGAAATCAAATGACGTACATTTGGCATTAGGCAAATCTGCTGCACAAGACCTCTTTAAAGTGTTCAAGAGCAAAGATGTTAGTCTGAGGACTAAGGTGTGCCTGACCCAAGCCCTGGCATTTTCAATGACCTCATATGCATGTTAAAGTTGGACAATCAATAAAGAAGACCATAAAAGAATTGATGCATTTGAGTTATTGGAAGAGAATATTAAAGGCACCATGGACTGCCAAAACAACAAACAAAACTGTTGGAAGAAGTACATTCAGAAACCTCCTTGAAAGCCAGGATGGCCAAACTTTGTCTTTCATACTTTGGACACATTATCAGGAGGGACTAGTTCCTGAAGGACGACATCATGCTTGATATAGTGGAAGGAAGGAGAAAAAGAGGAAGACCCCCAACAAGATGGACTGGCACAGCAATGGTCTCAAGTGATTGTAAGGTTGGTGTAGGACCGGGCAGTGTTTTGTTCTGTTGTGCATAGCAGTACTATGAGTCAGTACCAATTCGATGGGACCTAACAAGAACCTCAAAATTATCTCAAAGTGAAAAGTAGTTTGATTCAGTTCTGATTCCTATGGGATTCACAAGCACTTACCTTCCTTGTGGTGAGCCAGAAGCCGGGGAGCTGGTCTCTTTATGTGGAAAGAAGATATCTTGGTTGGCCCAGAGCCTGATACTGGTCCATTTAGGGTGACTCTGGTCCCTCCATCCTGCAGCCTGGATACCAATCTCCCCACATCTACCTCAGAGCAGGGTTCCAACTTGCTATCTGAAATAGGCCTGCTTAAGAACTTCCTCCCAGGATCAGCTTCCTCAATCTTCTGAATAGGTAGCTTGGGATGTTGTGACAGCTTGTTGGGGTCTATGTTGCTGGTGATAGTACCATTAGGTGTTTGATGTTTGATTTCACCTAGGAAAAGTTGGTGCAAAGGGAGAAGATAATCTTTATCACCTCTTCAGTTTAATACACATACATATACTTAATTAACCGCGGGAGAAAGATGAGGCTTTCTACTGCCATAAAGATTTACAGCCTCGGAAACCCTGTACAGGGTCGCTATGGGTCGGAACCGACTCAACGGCACTTAACAACAACAACAACAACATACTTAATTATATATATATACATACATACACATATACACGTTTAGTGGTTATCACAATATCACATAAAATCAGCCTCAACCCATCTCAATTGATGTGGATATAAAAGTCCCATGGTGGTGGTGGTGTGCCATGGATCTGTTTCGACTCATGGGGACCCTTCATAGGGTTTCTGAGACTGTAAATGTTTACAGGAGCAGAAAGTCTCATGTTTCTCCTGCGGTAGTTTTAAATTGCTGATATTGAGGTTAGCAGCCTGAATCGTAACCACTATGCTACCAGAGCTCCTTCCAAAAGTTCCATAGAAACAGGGAATTAAATTCAAGATCTCAGTATGATTTTTATTACCACAACACAGTAAATCCACAATAAGCCAAGATGTTTTAGTTTTAAGATTATATAATTCAAAAGTAACCTACAGTCCCTAATCAATTGAATAATCAATGCTTTTATTTTTTTAGCTTGAAAGACAGATATTTATTTTCTCGCAGAGGCTAAAAATCCAATCCAGGGTCTCAGCCATCTAGATTTCTTCATTGTCGTTCACCACCTGGGTGCTCCTTTATTCTTGGTAATCCTCCCCAGTATGTAACAGCCTCTGTTTTATCTGCTCTTATTATAACTCAGAAGTCACCTAACCTAGAACCCGCCCTTATACCCACTGGTGAGTTGAATCTAACTCACAGTGACCATATAGGATAGAGGAGAACTGCCCTGTAGGGTTTTCAAGGCTGTAAATCTTTACGGAAACAAACTACTACATCCTTCTCTGACAGAGCAGCTGGTAGTTTCCATAATTCTTTTTTTCTTTTCTGTAGGTTTATTTTTATTCAAAAAGTTACTGTCTCAAGACATATACACAAATAAGAAAACAGTACAATTAGGACAATGCAATGTGGAGGACAACAGGTTAGAGTAATATATAAAACATTTTTAGCTGGTTGAAAACAAAGCTGTAGGAACTGCTTTCACAAAGAAGTACTCCTTTCAAGAGTGAGGGGAAAAAAATCAACTCAGGTTTAAAATCATATATACAGTCCTCTCAGAAGTTCTAGTAAATGCAGTGATGTTAAAAATAACAAAGGCAATACTTTTGCACATGATATTGGTTGGTGGAAATTTTGTTTATGTATCAAGGTTCTTGAAGAGCAAAGATGTCAGCATGAGGACTAAGGTGCACAAACCTGACCATGGTCTTTTCAATGACCTCATATGCATGCAAAAGCTGGACAGTAAATAAGGAAGACCGTAGAAGAATTGATGCATTTGGGTTATGGTGTTGGAGGAGAATATTGAAAGTGCCATGAGATGACAAAAGAACAGATCCGTGTTGGAAGAAGTGCAACCAGATTTAGGGGAGTATTATGACTAGGTCTAGGCTAGACTTAGAATTTTGTTTAGTGTTTGGGTTATGCTTAGAACTAAGGTTGGTGTTAGGGGTAGAGTTTGGGCTACGACTACTAGTAAGACTTGGTCTAATTTTAGGGTTACTTTTAGGTTTATTTATTATTTTTTTAGTGAAAGTAAGGCTTGCTTATTAAATTTTGCAAAATTGGGCGTCAGACCCAGTAGTCATAGGCATGACGGGCTTGGAAAGAGTTTTATTCCCCTGTCTTGAGAAAGTCCCTCCCCGTGTTCCTCTTTTTTAAAAAAAATTTTTTAAAGTTTTTATTGTGAATTGAGTGATAGTTTACATGGGAGGATATCGATTTTACACTCAGGAATATATAATCATTTAAACAACCAAAGGACACATTTTGCAAGCCTGCGTCCTGGCTGCCAGCACACAGTCTTTCTCTTTCTGTGAGTATAGAGTCCTCAGCTGCTCTATTTCTCCATGTCCTTATCTCTACCTCCATCTCTGGTGTTGCTGCTTCTCTGGATAGGTTCCCACATTCCACTCATGCTCTTTCCCTTGATGGTCCTAGGGTCCTCTGTTTCTTGACTGTAAAATTAACTACTCCCCCCTTTTTGTTACAAAACTTCTACTTTTACAGTTGTGAGTCGCAATTAGTTATAACAATTACTCATTATTGAATCATAAGAATTTTATCCCCATCTCTTTTCACCAGATCCATCTAGACAAGATGAAAACTATTCAGTGGGGATTCTAATTTCCCCTGTACACTCTGAAAGTAAACTCCCTTTTGAAAACTTGTAAGCCAGTAACTTCGTGCCTTTATTGCCCTCCCATTTTGGGTAGCCATTTGTCTAAGTTGCCCATCCCTATTAACCCTGTATACAGAGGGGATAGGATTAATACTTGATGTGAAGACTCCTTCCTTCTCAGTTGGTATTTTGAGTTACTACGTTCATAGGTATAGGTCAAGTTCATCATATTGTAGCAATTTACACTTGTATCCTTTATCAAAGTCTTTTTTATCTTCTTCTAGTCGAGCCCTGGTGTGGTGCTTGGGCTAATGCGTTGGACTGCAAAGTAGTTTGAACTGCAAGGTCGGTGGTTCAAGTTCACCAGCTGTTCCTTGGAAACCCTATACAGGGTCATTATGGGTTGGGATCAACTCAACGGCACTTAATAACAACAACAACATTCAAGTTCTGATCATCAAGCCATCGAGACTAGGTCGAATGGGTAGTATCAGCAAGTTTGTACATTCTTGTGCACCTCCTCTCACTTCATATCAGCTTCACAGTTTGCTCTCAGCTCAAGCACTCCATGGCTATGTCCTTATCCATGGGCTTAGGAGTCCCCAGGTCTCACCACACTTTGGACCAACCAGCTCTTCCTCTTTTCTCTCATCTCCAGGTCAACAGGAGTCTATGGAACGTGTTGAACTCAGCCCTTATCTTCATTGCTGCCTTTCCCCCCTCTTCCATCACCAGCAAGCAAATGTGATTGTCTGCAAGATTACATGCTTGCTCATTTGTTCCCATTGAGTTTCAGTCTTAGAGGGGTGTCTGCCCTGAAGGGGACTTGATTGCTTGCCTTGATGGCTCTCTGGAGAGGTTTACTTTTAATTTATTTAAATCTACTCGATTGCTTCTTCATTTGGAAGTTCTGTAACTACATTAATCCCTCTTTTAATTCATAGTTTTGTTTTTTATTGCAAACTGTTAATTCTGGTTCCCTGTTTTCAGTCTTGTAGGTCTACTTTACTTTGATTACTTCTATATCTGGATTATGCTCTGGATGATATTGTCATGTATGCTAATCTAAAGTTGTCTGCTGTTTGTTCTCTGTCCAATGAACTCCCTTTAGTATTTTTTGTAAGGTTTTTATAAATTCTTTAAATTTCTGTTTATGTGGAATATTCTAATTTCACCATTATATTTGTTGATGAAATTTTGATAGTTAATTTAGTTGGGTATATGATTTTATGTTGGCAATTTTTTTCTTTGAAAGTTTTATATATGTAATTTCATTATTCTTGCCTGAATGATTTCTGCTCAGATATCTTATTTGTTTTCTTTTGTGGAAAATGTTTCATTTTTCCTTTCTTTGTTTTAGATTTTGAAGTTTGATTATAACATGTCTTCATGATTCTCTTTTGAAATCTATCCTGTTTGAAGTTCATTCAATTTCTTGAATGCTTATCATCTTATTTTTCATGATGTTAGGGAAGTTTTTTTCTAACAACTCTTCCACAACTTTCCAGGTTTTTTCATTTTTTTTGTCTCTTCTTGTTCTGGAATTCTAATCACATGTAAGTTATTCTTCTTAATAGTGTCCCACATACATAGGCATTCTTCAGTTTTACTTTATTTTTTTATGATTGCTCCTTTAGCAGATACACTGAGAGATTTGTCTTCAAGCTCACTAATTTGGCCTTCCATTGATTCAATGTAACTTCTGTGCCTTTCCAATGTATTACCTATTTCTGAAGTCTTAGTATCTAATTTCTGTTTCTGTATGGTTTAAATTCTTTTTATTTATTTTATCAGTTTGTGATTATAGTGCTTTCCCAAATTCTTCTAAAGTATTGTCTGTGGTTTACTTGATTTCATCTGGTTTTCCTGATCATTCTCTCAATCTGTAGAAGGTACCTAAATATCATTCTTTCAATTTCCCTATCAAGTAGTTCCATTATTATTTCCTGTATTATATGAGGAAGAGTCAAAAATTACCCACAGTCTGACTATAGAATTTATTCTAATCAGCTTTAAGAGAGCATCTTAAATTTTCATCATTCTTCCTTTTTCCAGACAGGAAGAGATCAGTAGTTGCACCTTAGACAACTGCTCATGAGGTTTTAAGACCCCTTTTGCTACTCACAAAATATGATGTAGAATGCTGTGTTTATGGACTATGTTATGCCAATTGACCATGGTATCTTCAGAGTCTATGGTATTGAGCCCGCAGGCCCAGCAACTGGTTCCTGCAAGGTGTTTGGCAATTGTGATAATTAATGTTTTGCGTCAATTTGACTGGGCCAGAATTCTCAGTGGTTTGGCAATTAAGATGCAGTAATTCACCATAATGACATCTGCTATGAGCAACCAATCAACTGAAGGCTAGGTGATTTCTTTCTCTTCGTTATTATTTACTTATTCATGCATTCAACATATAGTGACTGAACACAAATAATATGTAGAAGTAATTGTTCTAGAGGTGACAGAATGGATCTTACTATCTAATGGAAAAAAGAGATAATAAACATGTGAACAAATAGAAGATGATATAAATTAAATAAAACAATGGAAAGTGATAGAGAGTGATTGGGGAAGGAAAAAGAACTATTTAACTAGTACTCAGAGGTTTTAAAAAGGAGGTGATATTTGGCAATGACCTGAGTGAAGGTTTTTTAGGGCCAAAATAATAGCAAATGCAAAGGCCCTTAAGTAAGTTTGGCATATAAAGTAATAGCAAGACCAATGAGGTTAGAACAGAAAGAACAAAGAGGCAGTGAAGGTAAAAAATAAAGGTCAGATACTGAGACCAGAAGAACTAGATTAGATGCAGCTGCTACTGATTACCAGGGCCCTGGGAAGAGTAGGAGAAAATGTGGAACAAAACCAGGATTACTGGTCAGACAGAGACTGGTGAAAACCTGGAGAATATAGTCCTTAATCACCTTTCAGGTCTGGAAATGAGCACACCACAATGGCTCAAGTTTCAGCCAAACAATAGAGATGTCCTGGTGTGGTGCTGTGGGGGAAAGCACTGGACTGCAAGGTCAGTTTCAACCAAAGGGTTGGCAGTTCAAACTCACCAGAAGCTCCTCAGAACCTTATACAGGTTCACTATGAGTTGTAACCAACTCAATGGCACTTAACAATAACAACAACACAGTAATAGGGAGATAAACACTCCTCAGAATAATCAACCATTTGAGATTAAAAGAGCAATATTTGCCCAAGGACAAAGTTCAGAAGGCAGAAAGAGGTAGGAAAGGAGAAGGAATGGAAATGGGAAATATAGGGAGACAGTGGGATAAATGACATTACATTGTGGAAATTACAATCAATGACATGAAACTAAATGTGTTTGAATTGTTGAATGAAAAACTGCTCTGCTCTGCAAGCGTTACCCAATTCAGAATAAAAAGTTAAAACAAAATAAAACAATGACAACAACAAATACAAGGGTCAGAGAGGTAAGCCAGGACCATATAATGCAGAATAAAATGGAAATTTTATTAGAAATATGAGGAGGAGTTGCTGGAAATTTGGAACAAGGCAATGCTATGATCTGATATACATTTTTAAAAATGATGTACAGTTTAATGATGGGAAGAATGGATTATTTCCTTCTTGAATACCAGTTAAGAAGGCACTACAGCCATTCACAGAGACTTGGTGTGGCACTGCAGAATAAGCACTGGACTGCTTAAACCCACCAGCTGTTCCTTGGAAAACTTATACAGGTCGCTATTAGTTTGACAACAACTGATGGCACTTGACAACAACAACACAGACTTTCATGGATTCCTAGTGGTACAGTGGTTAAGTAGTTTGCTGCTAAACAAAAGGTTGGTGGTTTGGACCTATCAAGCGTTCTGTGTGAGAGAGATGGGGCAATCTGCTTCCATAAGGATTTACAGCCTCTGAAATCCTATGGGGGTAATTCTACTCTGTCCTATAGTGTTAGTATAGCACACTGTGGTTAAGGATACAGTCATCCAGGTAATAGTGGAAAATAGTAGGATTTAGCAAATAATTTGTATTTAGAGATAATGGGAATTGTTAATGGATTAAGCGTGAGATGAAAAGGAAATTAAAGATGATTTCAAAATATCTGACCACAGCTATTGGATGACCTGTATTGCCAATTATTTTGATAGGGGAGACCAGAATAGAAGCAGATTGAGAAGGAGTAGGGAATCAGTGTTGCGTTTTATCAATTTGAGATACCTATGAGGAATCCAAGGAGCACTGGTGGTGCTATGGGTTAGGTATTGGGCTGTTAACCTCAAAGTTTGGTGGTTCAAACCCACCAGCAACTCCATGGGAGAAAGATGAAGGTGTCTGCTCCCATAAAGATTTACTGTCCCAGAAACCCTATATAAAGTCACCATGAATTACAATCAACTTGATGGCAGGGGGTTTGGTTTGGCTTGGATAAGAAATCCAAGGAGAGTTGTTGGGCAGGGAGCTTGAGTTTGAGTAGAGGTGAGATATAAATCATAGTGATATAAATTTGGGAATCATCCTCAGCATTTCAATGATATTTAAAACCATGGGACTGAGTGAGATCACACAGAAAAAGGTGAAAAAAGGAGCTGAGAAAAACACTCTGGGACCTTTCACATTTAACAGTTGGGAAAAGAAAGAAAACTAGCAAAGGAAACTGACTTGTAATGTTTAATGTGGTAGGAAAATTTGGTGTCCTAAAAACCAAATGAATAAATTGTATCAAATGCTGCTGAGAAGTTGAGTATGGTGAAGACACTGAAGTGGCCATTTGATTTGGCCAAATGGAGATTAGTGGTAACCTTGACCACAGTGGTTTCAAATGAGTAGTACAGGCAGAATACCATTTAGAATGAATGGAGTCTACATACTAGCAATTAATCAACTGAGTGGCATTTCTTTGTTTAGACATCTATCTCTCCTTTAACCCTGTAAGCTTTATGAGGCCAGGGATTGTGCCTTAGTTCTATCTAATACCTAGTACAGTACTTGGCACATAGCAGCTTCTCAATTCATATTAGCCAAATTAGAATTTAGAATCTTAAGAAAGCACCTTGCTCACCCATTTCAATATATTGAGTCACTGGTCTAAGAACATTTTGGATCCTTCACTGGCCTCTTGAGAGATTATGGCAGCTTCCTTTCCAAGCTCATTCCCATCCTATCTACTTCCAAAGGACTAAATCCCTCTCTGGGAATAAATTATCTAAATTTTGCTTCCCCTGGCTGCTTTTAAACCCAGAAGCTTAGAAAAGTCTTTTGTTTAGAGAAAAATGGCCACTACTTTACTCCAGCCTTAAATACCCTTGTGTCTCATTATCATTCAGAAGTTAAGGGTGACTTCAGTACTGACCTTCGCTTTCATTAAGGGAAGAAGTATAGAAAGCTGTCCTTTCCCTCAGTAAGCGCTTTGAAATTGTGATTGGTTTGTGTCTTCGTGCTGTCACCCGAGGTGGAGGCACTGGAGGTGCAGTGCTTTCTTCAGGTGGACCTGAATATATCTGTGGAAGGGAATATACAGGAAACATTTAGAAAGATAAACTTATCTAATGCTACCTACCAATTAATACTTTTCAGGACTACACCACCCACCTGTCAGTTTGTCATACTGCATATTGCTTGTGTATTGCTGTGATGCTGAAAGCTATGCCACCAGTATTTTGAATACCAGCAGAGTCACCCATGCTGGGCAGGTTACAAAGGAGCTTGTAGATTAAGACAAACAAGGAAGAAAGACAGGGGAATCATTTTTGAAGATGAGCCCTCAGGTTGAAAGGTATTCAAAATACAAATGAGGAAGCGTTTTCTCCTTAAAGTAGAGTTGACCTTAAATATGTGGGTGGAACAAACCTCATTTGCTGATTGGGTACAATTCAAAATGAGAAAAAAAATAGTTGCAAACATCCATTAATAATTGGAAAGTGGAACCTACAAAATATGTACTAGGAAAACTACAAGTTGTCAGAATGAAACGGAACAAATAAAGATAGACTTCCTAGACATTAGTGAGCTGAAATGGTTAGGTATTGGCCATTTTGAATCATACAAGCATATGGTTTACTATGCTGTGAATGACAAACTGAAGAGGAATGATGTTGCATTCATCGTCAAAAAAACAAACAAACAAAAACAAAAAAAAAATTTCAAGATCTATCTTGAAATAAATGCTGTGTGTGAAAAGATAATATCCATACACCTACAAGAAAGACCAATTAACACCGCTATTATTCAAATTTAGGCACCAAACACTAAATCCAATGATGATGAAAGTGAAGAATTTTACTAGCTTCTTCAGTCTGAAACTGATCAAACATGTAATCAAGATGCATTGATAATTGAGGGCAGATGCACAAGAACACCCAAACTTGCAGATAGTACCCATTTGACCTAGCCTCAATGGCTTGATAATGAGAGCTCGAGTAGAGGAAGATTAAAAAACAAAACACACAAAAAAACAATTTTCGATAAAGGAAACGAGGGTAAATTACTACAATTTGATGAACTTGACCTATGCTCATAGAGGTTGTTGTTGTTGTTGTTAATGTGCCGTCGAGTCGATTCCAACCCATAGCGACCTGTATAGGGTTTCTGAGGAGCAGCTGGTGAGCTTGAACCACTGACTGTACAGTTCAAATGGCTTTGCAGTCTGGTGCATTAACCCTCAGTGCGACACCAGGACTCCCTCTAGAGAGTAGTCACTTGTTATTTTTGGTGATGGAAAGCTGACATCATTCCTGTTGTCAGATGGATCTTGGCTGAAAGCAGAGAATGCCAGTAAGGTGTTTATTTGTGCTTTATTTACTATACAAAGGCTGTGAGAATCATAACAAATTATGGATAACATTGCAAAGACTGGGAATTCCAGAACACTTAACAGCATTCATGAGGAGCCTGTATATTGACCAAGAAGGAGCCATTAAAACAGAACAAGGGGATATTGAATGGCTTAATGTCAGAAAAGGTGTACATCAGGGTTGTATACTTTCACCATGCTTTTTCAATCTGTATGCTGAGCAAATAATTCAAGAAGTTGCATTATGCGAAGACCATGGCATCTGAATTAGAGGAAGACTCAATAATAACTTGTAATATGCAGATGACACAACCTTGCTTGTGGGAGGCAAAGAGGATTTGAAATACTTACTGATGAAGATCAAAGACTATAGCCTTCATTATTGATTGCACCTCAATATAAAGAAAAATAAAATCCTCACAACTGGACCAATAAAAAAACATCATGATAAATGGAGAAAAGACTGAAATTGTTAAAGACTTCATTTTGCTTGGATCAACAGTCATGGAAGTAGCAAGCAAGAAATCAAAGATGTATTACATTACATAAATTTGCTGTCAAGACCACTTTAAAATGTTAAAGAGCAACGATATCAGTTTGGGGACTAAGGTAAACCTGACACAAGCTATGGTATGCATTAGAAAGTTGGACAATAATAAGGAAGACCAGATAATTGATTCATTTGCATTATGACATTGGCAAATAATATTTAAAGTACTATGAACTGTCAGAACAAATAACTCTGTCTTGAACAAAGTACAGTTAGAGTGCTTCTTGGAAGCAAGGATGGCGAGACTTCTCTCATACTTTAGACATGTTGTCAGGAGGGACCAGTCCCTGGAGAAAGACATCATGCTCAGTAAAGGGAAAAAGAACAAGACTCATAATGAGATGCATTGACACAGTGGCTGTAACAATTGGCTCAAAGATAGCAATTGTGAGGAGGGCATAGGACTAGGCAATATTTCATCCTGTTGTACATAGTGTTATTATGGTCAGAACCAACTTGATGGCACTTAACAACAGGATATCATATAAAGTTGGCCATACTAATAGTAGCATTATTAAAGGAATCAAAGGGTTTTCTTAATCACTCTAGCTATAAGCAATAATATTATTGCCAATTCTAGATCTCCTAGCATTCTAGACACACAGGACCTGGAAGTTCAAACTAATCTTGCAGCCCAGCATATTAACACACAGTACCACAACAGGATTAGAAGAAACTAATTAGAAATAGCAGAAATGAGAGTGGTGACATCACTGCAGATTCTACAGAAACTAAAAAGGCAAAAAGGGAATAAATGAAACTTTATGTTAATTTATTTGACAACTTAGCTGAAATGGACAAATTCTTTAAAAGATACAAACACATAAAAGTATATAAACAAAATAACCTTGTATCTATTAAGGAAATTGTATTTGTAGTTGAAAACATTCTATCAAAGAAAGCTCCAGGCTCAAATATCATCTTCAGATACATAGACCAATGGAACAGAATTGAAAATCAAGAAATAAAGCCATGCATCTGTGAATAGCCGATCTTTGACAAAGTGATGAAACACAATAAATATACAATGGATAGTCTCTTAACTAAATGGTACTAGAAAAATCAGATATCTGTTTGCAGAAAAAATGAAACAGGATCCATATCTCACACCATACACAAAAATGAACCTTGAGGATCGTGACTAGGGTGGAGGTGCAGTGAAGTTCGCCGTCAGCCATACCACAGAATACCAGGCAAAGCAGATACAGGGCAGAGACTCGGAACCACAGAGATAGGAATATTTAAAAAGTTTGAAGCCTTATATTTTGTGTAACTTGAAGCTGAAGTAAGAAATCATGTACTTTTGAATCTGCCAGGCTAGGAGGCCGAGAGCCAACATCTTGGATGAGACCAAACAGCAAGACCAAGCAGGGGAACAGAAACAAAACGGGAAAATGCAATGGGAACCTTGGAGCAAAGGTGGACAATACACTATGTCAATCTTACTTTATTCTAATTTTCTTTTTTTTTTTTTTTTTGTATCTGGTCATTGGTGTGCCCACTGTTTGCATACTTATATTCTGTATTCTGGTGACTAGAGGGGGAGCCTGAGCGAGTGGACACCCCCCAATCCTCAAAACTGGTGGGTTCTCCTGCAACACTTGCACACAGATACTCAGCCCAAGAGCAGGGGACTTTTTTTCTGGTTTTTTTTTTTTTTTTTTTTTTTTTTTAATACTGGGAAGGGCAGGACAGGGCTGTAGAGAGGGAAAGAGATTTTAAAAACAAAACAGGCTGAAAATTAAATTAAAGCCTGAGGTATAGCATAACAAACCAACAGTGGCATCTTGAAATCGCTCAGGCAGCTTTGAAAGCAAGAAGCTGAAGAGAAGACATTAAAGAGATACTCATATTAGGCTACATATTCATATTTTTTCTTTTTTTCTCTCACTCCACTCCCTTTTATGTGATTAGAGACTGTAGTATTCAGTCTAGTTTTTGTTGTTCCTGTTTTTTGCTTTTGTGCATTGTTGTTTTTTTTCTATTGTTTTTTATTTTCCACTGGAGCTGTTTTGCTGTTATATGATCCCTCTTCTACCGTTGAAGGACTCTTTCTCTCCGTATACCACACAAGAAGAGTCAGCAATTGCTGCGATATAGCCAAGCTACATTCACACTCTACAAAACACCAAGGCAAGAACCAATATCAACTGACATATACCAGGGAAAAAGACAACACCTGTGAAAGTTACTCTGACTTAAGCAATAAGAAGAGTGATAAAGGAAGCCCACATCCTGATCATATCTTCCTGGAAACAATCAGAGCATAAAAAATACCAAAACACATAATTTAGTATTAAGGCCACAGATAAACACTAAACATGCCCAACAAGCAAAAGCAGATGACCATATCAGCACATGTCCAGAAACAAGACAAAATGTCTGAGACAAATGACCTATAGGTAGACCTGGACTCCATTCTGGAAGGAGGGTAGGCCTTGGAAATGTCTGAAAAGGAATTAAGAAAAATGATTATAAAATGTTTCAAAACACTTACAATGCAGTTGAGAAAAATAAAGAAGTCAGGAAAGCACTAAAGGAACAATCAAATAAGATAGATACAGCATTGGAAACAATTCAATACCTAAAGAAAGAGGTCCAAACGATCAATAACAGAATATCAGAAATAGACAATACTCTGAAAGGGCAAAGGAGTACAACAGACGAGATGGAAGGCAGAACCAGTGAGCTGGAACACAAATCTCGCAATACCACTAAGATAGAAGCGCAAACAGTTAAAAAGGATAAAAAAAATCTGAAGAAGGTCTAAGATTCAGGTTTGACAACATGAAGAGGAATAACTTAAGAATTATAGGCATTCCACAACAAGAAGAATCACACAAGTCCACAGAGGAAATAGTTGAAGACCTGCTGGAAGAAAATTTGTCTAACATCCTGAAAAGTGAAAAGATAAACATTCAAGAAGCTCAATGAACCCCAGGAAGGATAGACCCCAAAAGAAAATCACCAAGACATA